TTCAACTTTTCTCCAAGCATTTGATTATGAAGATGAAGATCAGCCAGCTGAATCCCAAGTTTTTCTGCATGCCTAAAAGGGATGCAGCAAATGTCAAATTAACAACTGAACAAAAATTTGGCTTTGGCTGAAATGACAATGGGTATTGTTAATAACCTGCTTGTTGGATCTTACACTGAGGATTTGTATCTTAATCTGATCATAGTGTTGCTTCAAACTTTGATTATAATAGTAGTTTTCAATATTTTTAATAAAATGTGATATATTTTGATTTTTAATAACAGGGCATTCAAACTAGTAATATTATTTTATGAATATTTTCTCTACTATGTAAAAGCTTTAAAAATGCTGATATATGGTGGGGCAAAAAAGTATTTAGTCAGCCACCAATTGTGCAAGTTCTCCCACTTAAAAAGATGAGAAAGGCCTGTAATTGACATCATAGGTAGACCTCAACTATGAGAGACAAAATGAGAAAACAAATCCAGACAATCACATTGTCTGATTTGGAAAGAATTTGTTTGCAAATTATGGTGAAAAATAAGTATTTGGTCACCTATAAACAAGTAAGATTTCTGGCTCTCACAGACCTGTAACGTCTTCTTTAAGAGGCTCCTCTGTCCTCCACTCATTACCTGTATTGGTGGCTGACTAAAAATTTTTTGCCCCACTGTAACCTGGGTATAGACCACCCCATATATTCTGGTTCCTTAATATTGCTCTCTTTTAGGTCAGATTTCACAAACTTCAATGGATCAACTCTAGCAATCAGTGACTCAGGGCTGCTGGCCTTCCAATCAGTGAATTGCCAAAGCTCAGGCTATATGATTTCAGCAGTCACACTTCTCTGCCCCTTATTTATTCTTTATTCTAATATGAAAACCTCCTGAGAATCTAGAACATGTCCAATATTTGATTACTTTTTAGTTAACTACTGAACTGAGGCTGTATCCAGTACTCCCAAGTTTAACTTAGCCTTGGTTTAACCAATTAACCCAATGTTGTTTGTTTCCACAATGAACTGAAATTTTACAGAGATAGATCTGTCTCAAGGTAAACTAAATTGTAGGAGTCTAATCTGTGACTCACAGAGTCATACAAGCACAGTCTAAAACTGATTTAGTACTATCTTATTTTTAAAATATCATACATTTTTGTCCTCATAACTTTACCTATTGAGGCCTCTCATGTCCAAGTGTTCCATCACAAATAAAGCACCACCTTCTGGCAAATCAATAACTTTGATAGGTTTAGGAACTTTCACAGTTTGTGTTTGCAGAATAGCAGCTAAACTTGCCATTTCTCCATCAAACATTCTTCTAGCCTATTAAATATAAGAAAAAAATTATTAAAATATTTTTCCTGTATTGAATAGTAACCATTTTCAATGGTCTACATTAAAAAAAAATAACAGTAACTTCCTCACAAATTACTTATTTTATTCAGAATAAATATAAATGCCATCCTTGTTCAGTGTGTGGGACTTCAAGTTGAAAAAATAATCCAAAAGCTACAAAAAAGTAGACAATCCTTTAAAAAAAGGATGACATAGTTACTAATGATGATCCTGCAGGTTTTAAACATGCTCTCCTTCACATCTTCAAAGCTTAAATTTCTCATTTTATTTCATTCATGCAACCTGACCTTTTATTTTTTTTGTTATGTTATTTCATTTTATATGCTAATCTACAAGTGTAGGAACTTCATTAAATTATTCCCCAATGATTCGCTTTTATTAAATGATATCAGGATCAGATTTTACTCAATAGATGATACACAGTAGGGAGACCTACTGTATTCCCAATTCCTCAGGACTATCATGCAAGAATGTTTTCTACTCACATTCTATTCTTTCCCCTATAAGCCAAAAGAAAATATATTTTAAATTTAAGAGGATCCCTTACAAAAGTAAAAGTGGACAAAATAAACATAGACAAAAGTTGTGTAATGCCTTGAAAATCTTGGGAGGGCAGCTTCAACAAAAAAATACAGCTAGAGATTCCTCCCCATCTTACTAATGGTGCAAGAATTATACTTGTATATTTACTTGTATACTTGTATATTTACTGTGTATACTTGTAGATATACTTGTATAACTCTCGGTGTATATGTGCATGTGTATGTGTGTGAATGCATATATGCAAACATCAATGTATGATGCTATAAAGCAGGGTTTCCCAACCTTGGCAACTTGAAGATGTCTGGACTTCAACTCCCAGAATTCCCCAGCCAGCATTCCCTGGCTGGGGAATTCTGGGAGTTGAAGTCCAGACATCTTCAAGTTGCCAAGGTTGGGAAACACTGCTATAAAGAACTAGTTTGGTATATGATTAAGGCACCAAGCTAGAAACCAGGAGACGGTGATTTCTAGTCCTGCCTTAGGTACAAAGCCAACTGAGTGACCTCAGGAAGAAGACAATAGCAAGGCACTTCTGAAAACCTTGTCTGACTGCCTAGTGACTAGAGTCAACAAGAGTCAAAAACTGACTCAAAGGGTTGCATAAATAAATGCCAAAAGTTACACTCAAAAAATAAGGAAATAATAAATAATTTACACAGGACTGGAATAACTACTCATTATAAAAGGAAGTATCCTATTTATAATATTAACTGATTCCCTTTGCACATGCAAACCACTTACACACAGATATATGCAAGCTACATACACATATTCCGCTCTTCCTTTCCAGAAAAAAAGGAAAAGAAAACAGGATGGGTTAGGAAATGTAACAGCTGCCTGGGAAGGAGAAAAAGAAGCAAAGACAGAAATAATAGTATGAAACAAAAAGAAACCTATGTAAGGTAAGTACAAGAAGGACTGAGTTCATGAGGCATGAAATCTGACAGGCAGCAACTAAATCTTTAGGCTAATCTACTAGTTCAAATGACCCATGTCATCTGTAGATCTGTGAACTACAAGCCCAGAAACATACTACTGTAATCCATCTCTAGCTTAACACGTATACTAATTGAAATTCAAACGTCCCAACTTTTGCATTTCTGCAGCCTGTGCAGCTGGGAAATCTTCACAGTGGCCACTACTCCCAGGACGTACTATAATGTCCTTGCTTCCTCTGTTCATGTAATGGTATTTGATGAGTTTATAGTTCCTACAGCTAAACATTTTTTTCAAAGTCCTACTATTCAACAGCACTTATCTTAGGGCTGCATCTAAGCTGCACAAATCTGAGTAACCAAGACGGTGGCCTAGAGTTCCATAAATGCTAACTCTGCTTCTTAACAGCAACACTTTTTTTAAAAAAAATGTTCTGTCTGTTGATGCTACCAACTGGCTATTTTTGGAAACTGAACAAGGAGAAGTTCAACCTGGAAATAAGGAGAAACTTTCTGACAGTGAGCAATCAATCAATGGAACAGCTTGTCTTCAGAAGTTGTGGGAGCTTCATCACTGGAAGCTTTGAAAAAGAGACTGGACTGCCATCTGTCAGAAATGGTGTAAGGCCTCCTGCTTGGGAGGGGGGTTAGACTAGATGACCTACAAGGTCCCTTCCAACACTGTCTGTCTATCTAACCTCAGAAGAATCCCTCTCTGTGGTGCTCTTCCCATAGCTTAAGCTTTCAAAACCATACAACAACACACACACACCCCTCGCGTTCTCCCCGTTGCAAGGAAAAGCCTCGCTTGGTGCAGGTGCATTCAGAAGCAGCCATCGTAGAAAACCTCACAGCCAACCAATAAACCACCTGGGAACAGACGCTCCTTTTTCCAGCCTAAGATTCCCGCCCTACCCCAGTCTGTGTCCTCCCACCTCGGCCTTGCCATTGCGCTTCACGTAGACCTGCCCGGTATCCGTGTGGAAACTCTCGCCCTGGCTGATGCAGCCTCCCCCCGAGTATCCCGCAGGCCGCAGCACCGAGGTGCCAAGTTCTCGCCGCAAAGCCGCCTCCATCGCAGGAGGTCCTGGAAAAGCGGGCCACACACCAACCCAGCGCTCCTCTGCGGATCCCGAGACACCCGGGAGCCACTAACTTCGCCCCTCCTGCGCTAGCCGAGCCACCCGCACCCCTCCCCTCCCTCCAACTGAAGCGCAACGGCGATGCTGAGCGCCCGGAAGAGGAAAAGCAGGCTCGGGAGAAGGCAGCGCCCCCGAAGGATCCAGCGGCTCCCTGCATCGCTGCAATGAAAGGAAAGCCGGCCCTGAACTGTTTGCTCCTTGTCTGCAGATTCGCACTAAGAACCCAGCTTGGATAATTATAATTCGGAAGAAGCCAGAATCTTGACGTAAAGCCAGAAGCCACGGGTAATTTCACTGGGGAGCATCTTTGGAGACTATAAGTGGTTACACACACACACATCATGCTAATATCAGCTAAGCTCTAACAAGATTTCTTTGATTTTGCATGTGAATCAAGTCTGAACCACTAGGTTTTTTTTGGTGTGTTGTGTGAAGTCAGTTTTCCCTTGTAATTTGGAGTATGCCAGCACACCCCTTCTGTATTCACAACAAGAAATTTCAATTTTGGTTTTGCCCTACTAGTCTACATTATTGAAATTATTTATACCAGTGTTTCTTAAGTGTAATATTAGGACCCCAAAAGGTCTCCAAGTATCTCTCAGGGTCTGCGCTATCAATATTATTTGCCAGCCTATGCTGAAAAATAATACAATATTAAAATCCCATCAAACCATCATGAGAAGCAGTAAAGGCAGCAAATGTGTTGATTTTAACTTTTAATATGGTAAATATCAATAAATATAACCCATATGAACAAAAGCTCTTTTGGGGTCATCCATAATTTTAAAAAGTGAGAAAGGGTCCTGAGAGGAAAATAGCAGTTAGATAGCAATAGCAGTTAGACTTATATACCGTAATAGCAGTTAGACTTATATACCGCTTCATAGGGCTTTCAGCCCTCTCTAAGCGGTTTACAGAGTCAGCATATTGCCCCCACAGTCTGGGTCCTCNTTGTCTCTCATAGTTGAGGTCTACCTATGATGTCAATTACAGGCCTCTCTCATCTTTTTAAGTGAGAGAACATGCACAATAAACCATTACCTATATAAGCTACATGAATTCATAATTAGTTAACCAACTATGATGCTTTATATCAAAACAGGTTATTATACTATTGTATATAAACTAGTTTTTTCATATTGTATTTTGGTTACATACCTGACTAGAAGGTCCAGGTGAAGCAAAAGGAGAAGGACATGGTCCATCTTGTAATGAAAAGTGTGCAATAAATACTATCAATTTTGCAAATGCTCCTCTTACTTCAGCACTAGGGCATTCCAAAAGATATTCAGAGAAGCGATTTGAAACATTGAAAAGTACATTGTGTGCAAACCAGAAACGAACATTCTTGCTATGACGAAGGAGAATGCACAAAGCATCATACCTGAAAAAATATTTAAAAGATATCACATTTCCAGAATATTGAACTATACATATAAAAGTAATCAATATTAAACATAGAAGTAATCTTATAGAAAATTAGTACTATTGAAGATTTCCTGCTTCTTTTTCTAAAATCATTCAAATTTCCTTTGCTCCCTTCCCATTTTCTTGTGTTACATTCACTTTGCTATGTTTTAACAATAACCAGAATTCCTATGTAATAAATTTTCTTAAGCATCTTCAAACTCTTGCTTGCATTAACTGTGTTTATTGTTCTGTTTTAAGAAATCAAAACCAGAACCTCTGATGGCACTTAGAACCAAAATCAAAAGAGCCACATTTCAATCTGTATATTATCAGTATATGTTCAAATGATAGACAGTTTATTTTGAAGTAGATAATATTCAAGTTGCTGATCATGTCAATTGATGATGGCAAATTCTTCTTACTGTCTTTGCTAATTGTTATGAAGCTTTGGCTATATCTTGCTGGAATCATATGGCAATTAAAATATTAATTTTTTTTGTTTATATCTATGAACCACTAGAGCAAATGGCAGACAGAAAGATTCTTTATGCAGTGTCATTCAGTGTGTCTCTTACCTGGCTTGTTAATAAAATGAGTCTCTTGGTTTAAGTGATAAAAGAAATTCTGTGCATACGCTCTTTCTCTCAATGTTGTTTAGATGGAAGTACAGCTTCCTTATTCTACATATTTCTTAATCTTTTACTTCAAATGTAGTATCTCTTAGCATTCACTGATAGCTGGGCTAAGTCTATACACTGCAGTCGTTAATTATAATTATGATCCAGACTTTTAAAAAACATAAAATGTAGTATTTTAATGAATCATCTTATATTGGTTACATCTGATAAACCACAAATATAACAAGCTCAATTTATGGTTTATGTAGAAAACAAATTTGGAACCAAGCACAGATTTTATATTATGATTAGAGATAAGAATTTATGAATAGATAGATATTGGATTATTTAAACATAAGTGGGATTATTAATAAGAAATCTGTTCCTTCACACAAAATAAAATGGATTAACAAAGAATATTTTCTGTGTATATACTGGTTGATACAAATAATCTGGCTTTCCCATTATTAAAGCTCTTGCAGAGAAGCAAGCTTTCATTCATGGCCAAGAGGAAAGGGGTGAACAGACAGACTGGGAAAGAACGCTCCAAAGCTACCAATTCATGAAGCCCAGAAATGCAATGCAATAGCAAAAAAAGAGATTTTGACATCTAACAACTAGTGAAACTCCCCTGCCACATGAAAATAAAGATTTGACAAAGCTGTGGGAATCAAATGCAGAAAGTAAATGTTTTTATTGTAGAGTCACTTGGGCACGATGGGTGATGTAGAAATGAGATAGATACAATCGTGTGAAAAAGAAAGTGCACCCTTTCTTTTTAACCATGAGTTATATGGTTTTAGGAATCATGTCTAATCCTTAACAGTATTAAAAATAGATAAAATGCTGCCTCAATGAGCAACAACTCGTGATGTATTACACCATGTCATCATTTACTTCACAAAAAGAAAGTCAAAATGGAGAATGTGTGAAAAACCAAGTATAACTTATGACTCAACAGCTTGTAGAATAAATAACCTTCAGCAGCAATAACTTGAAATAATTGTTTCTCATATGACTTTATCACTCTTTCAAATCATTGTGGAGGAATTTTGGCTCAGTCTTCTTTACAATATTGCTTAAGTTCACTGAGGATTGTGGGCATTTGTTGATGCACCTCTCCTGAGGTCCCACCACAGCATTTTAATTGGGTTGAGGACTTTGACTGGGCGATTGCAACACCTTGATTCTTTTCTTTTTCAGCCATTCTGTTGTAGATTTGCTGGTGTGCTTGGGATCATTGTCCTGCTGCATGATCCAATGTATGCCAAGGTTTAGCTCAGACAGATGGCCTCACATTTGATTCTGGAATACTTTGGTATACACAAGAGTTTATGGTCGACTCAATGGCAGTAAAGTGCTCAGGTCCTGTGGCTGCAAAATAAGCCCAAATTATCACTCCTCTACCACTATCCTTGATGGTTGATACAAGATCTCTGTGCTGATATGCTGTATTTGATTTTTATCAAAAGTGACATTCTGCATGAGAGCCAAACATCTCTTTGGTCTTATCCAAGGGACAATGTTCCAGAAGTCTTATGGTTTTTTTTTCAGATGCAACATTGCAAATATAAGCCATGCTGCCATGTTCTTTTTAGAGAGAAGAGGCTTTCTCCTGGCCACTCTTCCAAACACACCATACTTCTTCATTCTTTTTCTAATTGTACTGTCATGAACCTCAACATTTAACATGCTAACTGAAGTCTGTAAAATAAGTCTTGGATTTTTTTGCAGTTTTTCTGAGCACTGCATGATATGACCTTGGGGTGAATTTGTTGGGCCATCCATTCCTGGGAAGATTGGCAATTGTCTTGAATGTTTTCTATTTATGAATAATCTTTCTCATAGTAGAATGATGGACTTAAAATTGTTTGGAAATGGTCTTATAACCTTCCCCAAATTGATGGACAGCAGCAATTGCTTCTCTAAGACCATTGCTGTTGTCTTTCTTCTTTGGCATTGTGTTAACAAACCTCAATGCTGGAGACCAGCAAACTCTTAAAACTTAGGCTTTTATAGAGGTAGCCATATTTGCTGATGATCAATTGATCAAGGAAACTAGATTAACAGCACTTGGCTGATACTTAGCTTCTTCATTCCCATGGAACAATAAGGGTGTACTTCGTTTTTCACACATGCCTTTTCCATTTTGGTTTCTTTTTGTAAAAAAATGATAACATCGCGTAGTATGTCATGTGTTGTTGTTCATATAAGGTTGTATTTACCTACTTTTAAGAATCACTAAGAACCAGACAACTTACTTCCTTTTTCACATGACGATAGACAGACAGAGAGGCAGGCAGGCAGGCAGACCATNCAAAGGCCTTCATCCTTGCTTGCAGCCAGAACTAAATTAAATTTCTCGATGCTTTTCAGGCCTATTTAGTCAGAGAGTATGACAACATTGATTGGCTCATAGATTTAGCCTCTATGCATTTTGATTGGTCAGCCAAAGCTCGCTGCTGATTGGCTACTTTTGATCCTAACATTCTTGAAAATTCAAGTTTTAGCACATAAAATCACTCAAAACCTTAAAAAGACTTTGGTTATATTAATAAAAATTATGCATCAATCAGACTACAGAAATTTTCATCAAAGTAATAATTTTGCGTGGTTTCTATGAGTGAAAAGTTGATTAAAAATGTAAATACAGCTTAAAACTGAAAGCGTGCAGGACTTTTTCACACAGCTGTAGTACTTCTTCTAAGGACAGAATGCAGTCCATGCTTCTAAGTGGAAGCATTCACCAAATGCACAGTTGTACAATGCAATCAAATCTAAGAACTAAAATTTCCATTTTCTACTTCAAACTGATTCATGCTGTTTCTGAAGAAAGCACCTCAGAACCTGATCACTCTCACCTCAGTACAGAATATACATCAGTCTATACAAATATTGATATAACATATTCAGTAAGATCTAACAGTAACAAAATTTCTTATCAGCATAACAGATGATTTAAATTTCTCATTATTTAAACTTATCATCTAAATTTTTCATTATTAAATCTATTAGAAACATGTAGCAAAGCTTATCCAAATTCCATTGCACAGTTTCATACTAAATACATTATTTTATAAACTGCAAAATAGTACCATTAATAGAAGACTGCATTCGTGATGCCACGTTGCAACAACGGATTAGTTGGGACACCACAGTGTATAGTTTGCCCAATTCAGCATATTGGTATTTGATTGGAGGACCTGGGCCTTCATCCAGTGCCACAAGCATAAATGTTGCAGGGACATTTAATTTTAAAAGTTGCGTTTTTTCTGCTACACCTAAATGGAAAGATGATAAAAAGGAAAAATCATTAGGAATCTAATTATATTTTATCAAAGTATTATCTACAAAAACTCATACATATCATAATTCAATCATTGGATCATATGTGGGGGGGAAATGGAAATGTGAACATAACTAGACAGCAAAACCTAGTTGACCCTAGTAGATTCCAAAGCAGGATCAAATCTAATTAGCATTTGAATGAGGACTACATGGATATCTGAAATCTATCAATTAAGAGTGTCATGTCAGGAAAACATCCCAGAAGAAATAAATTGCAAATTATATCCATGCATATGTCAAGAAATTATATCCATCTACCAAAACTCAAATCTCCCCAGTTATGCATCACAACCAGTAAATCACTCAAATCAACAAACAAAACTTTCCCATTCAATAAGATACAATAGAGTGTCAGGTGCACAAGTTCAAGGTTCTTTATTCCTTTCTCTCCAAGTTCTCTAACTTTTCTGCTTCACCTTCATTAAAAGAAGTATCCAGTTACTAGTTTATTTGCATTTTACCAAATGTGCTTGCATAAAAATTGAATAATGTTACATCCTTGGTTGGACTTGAATTATTAAGTTTCCATCAGACTGTGGCTCTAACTGCAAATTATCCACACATAATAATTTATTAAATTTATACACCACCAAACTTTCAGTGACTACACAATTTACAATTCTTAAAACATAAAAAATAAGACAGAAGTCATAAAAACAGCTTCAGACAAAGATACAACGATGGCAGAGGGGAACAAAATGGAGCATCTATTGCCCTCTCCAAAGGCTTGAGTGAAGAGCCAGGACTTTAAAGCCCTTTGAAATTTCAGAAGGGTGGGTGCCACTTAAATTGGGGATGGGGGAGGGACAGAAGGTAGGCATTGTTACAGAGGAGGTGTGCTTCCAAGATCCTGATAGGTGGCATTGTTTATAATCAGTGCAACTTGGAGCGTGCCAGTTCTTTTTTCTCCATCTTTAAAGTTTAGAAAACATTTAATACTCCCTCTAGCCTTGGATTCAAATGTACATTGGTAATACATATTTCAAAAAAGCCTCCCAATTACTGATTTTTTTTCACTGAAGAATTGGGAGGGAATTTCCAGAAGATAATTTAAAACCCTCAGTTTTCACTATAAAAGAGTTTCTGCAACACTTAATGGGCTATATAAAAAACTCGCATGAATGAGATTAGATTATTTCAAAGGGAAGGGAAACATGGAATAATATGGCATAATCAAATGAAATTATCTGAACATTTAGTTTAATTGTTTTTAGAAAGAAACAGAAAATTACCTAAGTTGGCATACATCACGAACAAATTGAAATATTGCTGCAAATGACGTCCATGCTCAGACACTTCCCTTCTAAGAAGATTCAGTACAGCTCTTAACAAATGGTCACTCAAACTTAAATTGTCATATGCCTATAAAGATGAGGCAAGTTAAATTTTTATTTACAGGCTAATCATATTAGAACATAATTAGTTTTATTCAACCTTTTAAGGGACCAATTGGACTAGGAACAAATCTCAAATCACAATGTAATGAAAGTGCATATTAACTATTTTATACTGCTGTGAAGATCTAGTGTAATGTATGCACGCTGTATGCATATAATGTAGAGAAAGAATAACTATCTGACCAACTATAATCAAACAACATCTGATTATCTCGGGTTTTTAGCAAAGTCTTGATAGATGGATAAAAAGGCAAATTCAGTTTAAACATCTGGCTAACTGGGCAACCAACCACAATAATAAAGATGGTAACATTCCACCTTTTTATCATTACACATTCAAACACAAAATATATATTGGTGGCACAGAGCTCAGGTGGCACAGTGGTTAGAGTGCAGTACTGCAGGCTACAGGTTACTTCAGCTGACTGCTAGCTGCAGTTCAGCAATTCAAATTTCACTGGCTCAAGNATATGCTGACTCTCTGTAAACCGCTTAGAGAGGCCTGAAAGGCCTATGAAGCGGTATATAAGTCTACTGCTATTGCTATTGCTATCTGAAATGATTCCACTTGAGAGTTTGGGCATATACCTCAAGAGCACTGCTTAACTAATTGTATACATGTATACAACCTTAAATTAACTGTAAACATGCACAAGGACTGGGCTGATGATAGAGTTGACCACAAACTAGTTGTCTCTCTATGTTAATGAAGCTGTTGTGGCCAATCAGCTGCCAGTTGAGATAGCTGCAGAATCAGACTATTGGGGCCTTTGGAAGAAACAGCATCAGAGCCAGGGCCAGGGCCTTCTGTCCTCTCCCAGGTAGAGAGGCAGCTGTCTTCAGGGGAGGAACAGATGGGGCCTATCCCAGATGTGCATATGCGCAAAGGAAAAGAGAGTTGAGCAAAGTAAAACAGTAAGCCGGGTCTCAGGGAGAGGCAGACACCTCTCCCTCGCTGGGAAATAAATAGGAGTGGCCGGTTGTTGCAGACAACCATTTGTTTTTAGTATACAAGCAATTTGGATTTCTTGGATAAACCCAGGTTTGTTGGGACTAATTAATTTGCTTTTTTTGTTCATTCCTATGAATAAAAGACTGTGACTGACCTGCTGTAAAAGGGGTTTGTTTTACTTGTGAGTAAAGCTCACTACTTGTGAAGGCTGGGTCAGAAATAGATGCAGTCAGGTGGGTGAGTAATGAATAAAACATTGTGTCACTGTCCTTCACCAAGGCTGAATTCAGGTAGTAAAACTAATTGCCAAGCCACACAGTTTAAAAATTGCTAGAGGATTTTGTTATTACTGAACCCAAATGTTTAGAAATGCCTGAGGAAAATACACTGGATATGAAAACAAAAAGATTAACTCAAGAGTAAAGTATATTGACACCAAATGGCACTATGCATAGATGTACAAAGGTGAGGATTTGTCAGTGTCCATAACTGTGCCACAGAACAAATGAGATATAATGTGCTGATAAAGCCATCAGCCTGACATCCAGATAACTGGGGGTTTAGGGTTCCTGTTTTAAAGAGATATTGGAGTTTGCTTCATTGTTCTACACTTATGAGCCATATACTCATTAAGTGAAATGGTAATATATGCAAATGTTCTTTACAAACTGTGGAAGTATCTGTTTCTCCCCTGGCCTATTAATATAATGAATTTCTATGTGTGAAGAGACGAGGTCCCTCTTCTCAAGATGTAATTTAAAGAAAAGAAAAGTATCACTTATTCTTTTTTCTCTACCTTTTACTTCAAATATAATGAAAATCTATTAGTGTTTGGTGATGGGTGGGTGCAATTATACTGGGCATTCAAGGAAACTATATTATGAATATTTTTCTTTTTGAATGGCATTTGTTGTTACTCACCTACTTGTTATTATTTTAGCTCTCTGCAAATGCTCAAAAACATGCCCTCTAACAAAGGATCCCGAGTTAATATATACAACAGATTAGGCCAGGGGTCTGCAACCTTAAACACTCAAAGAGCCATTTGGACCCATTCCCACAGAAAACACTGGGAGCCACAAAGTGGGTGTGGCCAACTCAATGTCACTCCCTCCCACACAGACACATGACCTCCCCCTAGCCATGCCTACCCAGGGCAGAGAACCAGTTGTTTAAAAACACCCAGAACCACAAAACCCTTTTGACATCTCTCTCTCCCTCTTCCCTCTCTCTCTCTCCCCCCCTTCTATTTCACCCCTCTCTGTATCTCTCTCTCTGTCTCTCTCCTGCTATTTCCCTCTTCCCTCTCTGTGTCTCTCTCTATGTCTCTCTCTCGCTCTCTTACTCCCCTTATATCCACCCCCTCTATCTGTATCTGTCTCTCTATGTCTTTCTGTGGCTGTCTGTAGTTGCGAGAGAAGAAGGATGGGGAGGGTCGCCCGAAGGGAAGCCTCTGCCGCAGCTTGCGCTCATTCCTCAGCCAGACCGGATTTCCAAAAAGTTGCCATGAAGAAAGAAAAGTAGTAGTGAAGAGCCCCAAGGGGGGAGAGGGAGGGAGAGAGCAAGAGAGATACAGAGAACGAGCAGGCCCCACACTTTCCATCATCCTCTCCTCCTGGAGCCCATTCTCATCCCGTCAGCCCTCGTGTTAGCGAAGCCGGCATTGGTCGCAGCCGGGTTGCATCATTATGCATTATTAGAAAAACATATATTAACCCTAACTTTACAAGTTTTTTGGTCTTACTGTCCATTTTGTTCCCTTCTGTTTAATCATGTCCAATTATGGACATGAGAAGTGCCTGCCATTTTCCTGGCAAAGTGTTCAAAAAGTGATTTGCCATTGTTGTCTTCTTTGCACTAAAATGGTATGTATTGACTGATTAGCGATTAAAATACTATCATACGAGAACCAGGGTGAAATCCTACTGGTTCGGACCGGTTCAGGAGAACCGGTAGCAGACATTGGGCCTGGGTCGTCGAACCGGTAGGGACTGCTGGCTGGCTCCGCCCCAAACCGGTTCAGCGGTCACCACTTGCTCACCCAGCCCCATGGCCCGCAGCCCTGCCATGCCTGCCTTCCATGCAGCCTTCCCATTGTCCCCGTGGCCAGCTTGCGAAAACAGGCAAGCAGAGGGCTGTGTGGAAGGCAGGCAAGCATGTTGGGGCTGTCCAGCTGCGGGGAAGGGAGCTAGGAGCCTACTCCCTTCCCCGCAGCCCTGCTATGCTTGCTGGCTTTACACGCGGCCTTATCAACGGTCCCCCATGCCTGCTTGACTTCCGAGGTCAGTGTCCAGCCCAGCCTGGCCTGGCCAGTTGGTGGATGACTGGCTCTTTATGGAGCAGTGGATGGCCAGTGCTCTGGGGCTGAGAGGGGCAGCGGCAGTGCTCCGGGAGAGCAAGCGAACATCCTGCGGCTGCTGCATATGCACCTGCCCTGTTTATGCAAAGGCAGAGCTGCAGAAAAGGCCACCTTCCATGCTGGCCAGTGTGCCTCCCATGCTGGCTCCGCAGGGCTTGGGGCTCCAAAGCAGCCCACCGGCTTCCCACCCTGCCTACTCTCTTTGCAGATCTGCCTGGGTGACTGCTGGCACCACTCTGGGAACTTGAAGTCCGGCGCTCTGGGAGAAGGAGACTTGACAGCAGCACTGCTTCCTGTTGGCGAAGAAATTGAGCTGTTTGCTTTTGTTTTGCGGCGGAAGGAAGAAAGCGAATAGCGGTTCCGCGGCAGTGCTCCATGAGGGCAGGTGGACATCTGCAGCCAGGCAGTGAGGGAGGGTGGCAAGAGCGGTGGTGCTGGTCCCTTCCAAGTGCAGCGCATGGAGGCAGTGGGCAAGATAGGGAAGGTGGCCCCAGAGTGCCTACTGCTAGGGAGGCTCGGCGATTGTTCGGCCAGGGCCGCCTCAGTGGGGTCTGCATAAGGCTCTCTGCTCACACTATGTCCCACTCCAGACGGCTGCGCAACTACAAGTGTGGTGATGTGATGCTTGCTGTAGGCCTGGCCCTCTCCCTGTGGTGGCTTCTGCGCCTCTTGATCCACTTCTTTGTTGGCGGGAAACGTCATTGCGGCTGAATCTCCTTTTCCTGGGGCGCCGGACTCCAAGTTCCCAGAATGGTGCCAGTGGTCGGCTAGGCTCATCAGCAAAGAGAGTAGGCAGGTGGCCAGGTGGGAAGCCAGTGGGCTACTTTGGAGCCCTAAGCCCTGAGGAGCCAGCACAGGAGGCATGCTGGCTGGGGTGGAAGGTGGCCTTATCTGCAGCATCCCCCTTCCCTCTTTGGATCGCCCTGCCTTTTCAGAAATGAGGTAGCCAGTTTATACAGAGGATTTGTTGGGGGGGGGGGGGTTGCATGGTCCTCCGGGCTGGAAAGCGGGGCAAGAGAAGACTCCGAGGTTCACTTGGGCAGTCAAGCCAGATGGTGGAGGGAAATTCAAAGCGTTGGCCGCAGAAAGGCAGAATATGCAGCTTCTGGATGTAACAGTGAGTGACATCAAGTTGGCTATGCCCACCCAGTCACATGACCACCAAGCCACGCCCAACAAGTACGGAGAATTTTTGGATTTCACCACTGATGAGAACTACACTAAAACACTGAAGATATAACTAATGAATACTTTTAAGTAAAAATTTACCAATCACTGGCAGGACCACGAACTATTTTCTTTGTGTGAAATCCTGTGGTAAACAGAAATCTAGCAGCAAGCTGAACACTTATCATTGTAATTTCTTCTGCTTCAGGCAGTAAATGATCTTGTCCTAAAAAGAAAATGTAGAAAGTTACAATTCAGTGCATAAGTACTGAAATTTAAAAGGTCAGCCTGACTCAAAATACTTCTTAAATCAATCAACTTCAAGTGTTTTTTCCCCAGCAATACTGCCTGATACCTAAAATACTTTTTGCATGCATTTCAGTCAGTTTTTACTCCTGATGACTACCAAATTAGTCCCTGCAGTTTTCCTGGCAAAGTTTTTCGGAAGTGGTTTGCCACCGATTCATTCCTAGGGCTGAGAGTGATTGGCCCAAGGTCACCGCGCTGGCTTTGTGCCTAAAATGGGACTAGAATTCATGGTTTCCTGATTTCTAGCTTGATGCCTCAACCACTATATCTAACTGGCTCTCCAAGAACAATTAAGCATCTTATATAGCTTTTTGTGTTCCAAAATGAACATGGAAGATAATGATCATAAGATATCCATAGTGTATTGAAAATAAATTTAGTAAACATTTTAAAATTAATCTCAGGGAAAAAATGGTAAGAGATACTGAAAATATTAAAAATGAAATCCAGGGATCTGAAAAATATTAAATACTTTCTATTTTTATATAACAATGTAATTAATTTTAACTAGGAATATCCAAAAACTTACCAGGAGGCGGATTTAGGTAGACACTATTACATGTCAGCAATTTTTTTACAAACTGAAAATATTCCAGGCTGTACTGCATTCGGTTATGCATGAATTGTACATTTTGTTTTCGTACACTCCGTTCAATTGCAGATGGCATTTTAATTTGATGGGGTTTAGTGGTCATTGCAAGTTCTGAAATATATTTTATAAGCTCATTGTCTTTCTCTACTGTGTCCATGCGTTCATAAAAAAGAATGTAAGCATTCCACCATCTCTTCTGACGTCTGTAGGACATCCTTTTCATCATATGATCAAATACTTCTCCCATGTATTCTCCACCAAAACACTGATTTTTCATTTCTTCATCATCATCCATTTTGCATTCAGTTACATCACCATCATCAAATTTATACCATCTGTTTTTCTCACCATCTCCTCCATTTCTTTGAATAATGTAAGAGTAATAATGTCCACCACTGGCTTGACCACTGTGCACCAATACACCCACTAGTCTGTATTTTGTACTGCCAGAATGTTCAATTTCTGATTGTTCATTCTGTATTAGTTGATTTTCAGGATTTACATCATCCCCTTCTAACTTAGCTACTCCCGCCACAGTATAAGGTTCCATATCCAATTCACGTGGAAACTCAAAATAATCATTGAACTTGATTGCACATTCCCTTTCCCAGTCATAATCAAATCGTTTTAGCTGGATGGCAAGAACTGGAGGCAGTTTTTTAATCAGCAAGCGTTTCACTGTATCAACCTGGGAAATAAACACAGTTATTACTGTGAATTATCAAACACAACAAATTCTAAGTAAAATTATAGTCATTTTTCTTGACCAAACTGATATAATCAACTCTCTGCTCATATAAACACATTTTAAATAACATGTTTAAGGAAGCAATGGTCATATACCTCTAAATTGATGGTATATACCAGTCTTTGTAATTAAAAAAATAGAGATCTTGGTCATCATCATTCTAAGAAATATTCTAAAATTCCGACTAAAATATAATAAATAGTAGTTCTCAATTCTCTTACAAAATCAAAATCTACATTGTTCTATTACTGACCAATGACAGCTGCTACTGAATTCAAACAGATTTAGAGCATTGTTCTAAAGGCAGGCCAAAATTACCTTCTTGTTGCATTTTTCACAGTGATATGCATTTGCACCTTCCAGTAAGTCTCCTTTGACATATTGTTCCAAAGAGTCAAGTAGATTTTGGTGATTTCTTATATCTACATTCAGTGTTGTAAAAGATTCTTCACATTCATATCTGTAAAGTTAGAAAAATAATTTAATTTTGCTAAATGAATTTTTGAATAAGTATCTTTTATTATTAAGCAACATAGATGTCAGCCTCTGCTTTGCTGCTGCTTCGGCTGCCATTGAAACAGGAAGGGGGGGGGGGCATGGTAGTGGGGGATGGCAGGAAGCTTCTTCTTGTCCTATTTTGTATCAGCTTGGGTTTATTTGTTCTTCCATATTCCTTTGTTAGTAAATGTAACCTTTTATAATTTTTTATTAGCCTTTCTACATAAAGAAAATAGCAATGCATTGTTGCCTTTTATCCAATGGGTAGCTTATGATTTATAATTACAGTTGTCAGTCTAAATTATTCTGCCTAAGTATATATTTTAAGTTTTCAGTATACATTTTATTCTATTTTATTCTATTCATAAAATTATTGTCAGCTGCGACTTCATTTAGTAATCAGGAAAGAAACTACTCAACTCCATTTGTTTGAAATTAAGTATACTTTTACTAATTATAAACGAACAGTAGCAAAGCTAAGCTGAATCTGGTTAATTAGGCTCGAAAGCGA